GGCATTTTTGCACGAGGTAGTTTGATTTTTGAGACAGTTATGCAGGAGTATGGGGTATATATATATGTTTTTGATGGAAAAGTTTCACAAAGGTTCATAACCCTGCATCTGTAGACACGATTGCAAGATGGATTAAGACTACCTTACAACAATCTGATAGGGATTATACTGAAAAGGATACACATTTTATTGCCGTATGTCTCGCACAAAACGCTGGAGCGGGTTTGGCATCGATACTTAGTAAGGGCAACTGATCAAGTCACACAACCTATCAGAAGTTCTATCAGCGTGGAGTATCACTCACACTACAGAAAATTATTTACTTAGTAGAATTATACAATCGATTCTGTCTTACATTACAACTCAGATCACTACAAATGCTCCGAAATAGCAATCTATATGCACTGATTTTCTGAGCGAAATGCATTTACATGAGTGTCCGAGCAAGGAATATCAGTGCATATTCCTTTATTACCCTCACTCCCTACCCAATCTATATATACTATGTATATATGTATATATAAGATTTGATAAAATAGTAGAAGGTTTTATTAGAACACGATAAAAATTACTTAACAATGATGTAATGTCCTATAATCTGTAACTGGAAGCTGGCCAATAAAATGACCTTTAGCGATATACATGTATATGCCACTGATATTCCGTGCTCGGACATTCATGTAAATACCTATGGAAGCTGATGGAGAAACAATAACATGGATGCGCTCTTTGGCATGTGAGTCAGAAAAGTATCTCGAAATCTTATTTGTCGCGAGAAGTTTGTCTTTGTCTTGGAGGAAAAGATTGCTAAACTGATATTCACAATCATCAAGAATTTCCACTTTCTATACCCTGATCTTATCTGCATCAACATTGGCAAAATAATTTGTTTTTTCTGCCTTAATAGCTTTCTTCAACTCATTTATGCAGTAGATTCCTACTAATCTTAATCGAGAAAGCATGATTTACGGCTAGTAAGTTTCCTTGAACAAGACAAAGTAATGAGACATTGTTTTATACTCTCATGTGTATCTGACTACATAATATGTTCTTATCTGGTCAGAGTTGAATGTGATCTTTCATATGATCAGACTTATAAAATTATTCCTGCACCAGATACACATTTGGAGGGTTCAAGGAGAACACTACATTAATTCAATGCAAGGTAAATAATATTTTTAATAGGTGATAGTTTCGTAATATTTTAGTTTAAATAATTAACATTACAATCTCAAGAATAATCATTGCAGAACAATAGCCTATTATTAAACAACTTCGAGCATAAGATAAAAATATAAAAGTAATAAGGTTATTTGTGGAAAACGATTTGGTATTTCGTTTAATAAGAATCCTTTGAATTTAAGTTGGAATTAAAATTTTTCGACAATCGAATCAGTACCTGGAATGGAGTTATCACTTACTTTCATCACCATTACCAGGAGGGTTAAAAGATTGTTCCTGTTTCTCTTTCTGTGTTAATGGTGTTGGCGAGGTTGTAAGCTCGAATTTGTCGGGAGGATTTGTTCGATCTGGAGTTGAATCGCTGACAATACTTTCTTTTTTCCATGTTGTGTAGATGTTTCCTAGATTCCTGTGCAAACAAATTATAAGCATAATTAACTCATAAACTTAGAAAATTGATTTTAAAAATGGCTCATTTTTTCAAGTCGACCAAACCCGAGTCTGCTAAATAGGTATTAAAATTAAAATTTAATAAAAATTGAAATATAATAAAGGTTATACTATCCACAGTATATTTGCCTCATAATTATCCGACATTTCGAGTACTATCTCATGATTAAGAGCATTAGTTGGTTGTGATGAATTTGAAAAAACCAAAAGTCTGCTTGTATAAATACGTAGAATTTGGATGTGCTTTGTAATTAAGCCCTGAGAAGCTATTATCCAACGAATTTAAAATCTGCCCATCACTTTATTTATAGTTTTTGTTATTTCTTCAGCATATGGTCGTTCCGATGGCCTCGCATCCCAACATTGCGTTATTAATTTAACTAAAATGATTTTTTTATCTCTACTTGTCCAGTTGTCAAAATCTTGTTGAAGACAAAATCCATCACATTGCTTACACCATTAAATAAGATATCTTCTTCCACATTCGGCACATAACACGTTAACATCAAGAACCATCATATAACATAATGACTCGGGCTGTGTAATTCCGTAAAAGAAATCGTCACACTCAATTAAATTCTCTACATAAAATTTAAATAAATTATAATAATTATAATAATAATAAAACTATAGTTAATGGAGTTTAATATTCCTTACCTTGTTGTCCGAAGCAAGGCGTATGAATGAAAGGGTGATGATAAACAGAAAAGTGATCATTTCCGCATTTTTTAATGTCCGACGATTTCTATATAAAAAACAAAAAAATTTATGTTATTTAAATAGATTCATAATAAAAAAATAAATAATAATATATTAAACCCTATTAACTCGCCAAATTCACACCCTT